CCTGAGATAGCCCATGTGTCTGGAGTGAAGTGAGCAAGGAAGAGGGGAATGGATGATAAGGTCAAAGCAGTGAGGGGAAGGAGAGGGCCGCTGTGGGGCCTCTAAGCCAGGGTGTGGACTTCCACCTTTCCTTTAGTGCAACAGGAGCCCCTACAGGGTTTAGCAGAGAGCAACAAGCTCTGGGCTGACTTTGAAAGCAAGGGCCAGGCGTGGATCTCTCTGTCAAATTTAAAATTTCTACTGTGTCAGGGTTACTGCTCGTGTTGTAGTGTCTATTTTCATGTAATTCAAATACTGTATGAAAGCGCTCATTTTTCCCTGGTCCAAATTTCAGAGGAAGAGAGGGATCTCATAAGAAAACTGTGGACATATAGACGTCAGAGCAGGAAGGCGCTTCCAAACAAAGGCCCCAGACATTCATATGGCTTTTCTAAAAATCGGACACCCAAGGCAGTGGCAGCACCAAGCCTGGGTTTGACTTCCCCCATGTCCAGCCTGTGTCCTTATACCCAGCTGACCCCAGGGTGTGTCAGAAAAGTTGTGCTTTGTTTGTTTTGGATTTTTGCTGTAAGGAGCATGTTCTTACCAGAGAGAGAGAGAGAGAGAGAGAATGAGAAATCACCCCCCTGGGGGAATATGGCCACACCATAATTCCTGTTAGTATGTATGCACAGGCACCTGGCATGGTTCTCGAGCTGCTGGTCCAAGACTCAAACTGCAGTCAGCCATGTGGGATCCAGCACCTTAACCACCATGCAGCCTGCTGGCCAGTGTTGTTTTGTTTTAACCAAATCTTTACTATGACGTTACTAATAGATAAATACAAAAGAAAGAGTCAAAGAGTGAACACAGCAAATGTGAGAGCTGTTCAGAGATCACCCACGTAGTTATCGTTGAGACTTGCACCGTCCAGCCCCGGGAGTGCACCCTAAACTCTGCTGCTCAGCAGCTAAGGCCACATGGGAGGCCCAGATTCAATTTTCATCAGAGAACCATAAAAGAAAGCCAGACTTGGTGGTGTGCACCTGAAGTCCTAGCCCCTCAGGAGCTGAAGGCAAGAGGATTGCAATCAGCAAACCTGATCTATACGACACCACACCCTCGTGCACGCATCATTCCCAGCTCTGCCCTTGTCAGTCAATGGCCAGCAGTTCCCAAGGCTCTTGAAGAATCTTCCTAAAGCTTCTGGATTTTGGCTGCCTTTCAGGCAACCTGTCAGGCCAAGAGCTGCTATCCAAAGACCAGAGTGGGAAGGGAAGGAAGTGAGGAGAGTGAAGCTCCGTGCTTTCAGTGCCATGACCTAGAGAACGTCCTGTCCCTCCATAAACAGGGATTCTCAATAAGTGTTCTCCAGTGAGAAGTAATTTTGTTCAGCTTTCTACATGGATGAGGCTGTAGAGCTTAGGAAGACAAGCTCGAAATCGAGTGTTAGTGAGATGGGCATGGCCATTCTGGAGGTTCTGCTTCCGTTATGCCCTGGAGTGGAGTTCTGTGATCCTGAGGCACCTGTTACCTCTTCTCTCAGAGCACCTTACATGGTCATATGTGAATAAATAAGAGCTTTTGCATGTGAAGATGTGTGGAGAAGGGTGTTGGTCAACAAGAAACAGTAAACAGAAACTGTCAACCGAGTCTTGCAAAATCTAAAGAAAATGGCCAATTCTGTTTCATCATCACCTGAGCCTTTTAGGTTTTCATAGATGGTGTGCCTTTCTCAGCTTTCCTCTCAACACGGACTTTAGTACATGAAGGTAGCTCTATTTAACACCTCCGGATAATACTCAGAAGGCTAGAATAATCAGAGATGCGTTCCCAAAAAATGGTGCTTGCAGACTTGCCCGGTTCTTAGATCCTGGGTAACACCATGTGAAGACTGTTGAATGAAGTCAGTGTGTTTCAGGGTAAGTAAATCATCCGCCCGGAGTCCCCCTAACGAGTGTGCTCTGCATGTTCCAGGAAGGACTACTCAGGGGAGTACACCATCTACCTGATCCCATGCACCGTGCAGCCCACACAGCCGTGGGCTGACCCAGGAGAGAAGCCCTTGGCCTGCACTGCACACGCCCCAGAAAGGTAGGAAAATGAGGCCGATCTTCATTCATCGTGATTGCTTATTTACAAATTCTGCTGCTCACTGACATTTATTTGTAACTCCTAAACCAATACTCAGTTACTTTCACCTTCATTTGCTAATATACAGAGTAGCAAAAAATTTGAGTCACCCTACACACCATCCCCTGCAAAGGTCAAACAAAGCAACACTCTGCCTTATTTCAGCTCTTGTGGTACAAACATGAGTCTTTTTCACAATCTACTTAGTGCCATGGTGTTTTGCATTTTTATCCCTTTCGTTGGTGATTTCCCTATTTAATACGTCTCCCGAGCCTCATGCTGAAGGGCTCTCCAGGATTCTTAAGCACAGAAGCCTATGATGTGTCTTCTGGAGTGTTTGCTAGTCCTCATTCGGGATGAGTTGTAGCTCAGTGTAAATGAACCAGCAGTATATATTAAATAAGAGGTTTTTAAACAGAAACACATGTTTAAAAAGATTATGTATTGATCGGCTCATGAAAATATTGTGACGAGACGGTCATAGGAATATAACCCTGTATTTTCCCAGAATCAATGATTCAATTTCCAAGTCAGTGTTTGTGGAGACTTTATGGAGCATGACAACTGTGAATAATGCAAATTGACTAGACCTGTGCTTTCTTCTTATAGCACCAGTTTAGAGCACAGGATTAAAATTAACCAGTTCTGGGGCCAGAAGGTGGTGTAGTAGATAAGGCACTAAACTCCCTCATGGTCAATCACGGTTTGAGTCCCAGACCTGATGGCTTGAAAATTATGCTTGGTGCATGTACATGTGTGCCCAAAATTCCAAGAGGAGAGTGGAGGAGAAGGGACTACAGTGTGGCTATTCCTCCAGGAAGTGATTTCTCACTTTCTTTCTCTCTCTCTCTCTGTCTCTCTTGGGTGACTGCACATGCCCCATAGCAAGAAAAAAAAAAAAAACTAACTTAAAAAAAAACAATAACAAAATTAACCTGTGCTTGGGCCAGCAGTTGGCATGATTTTGAAGGCCCTGGACCCCACATAGCCAACTGCATGGCTTGAAAATCACTCTAGGTGCATGTGCATGCATGCCCAAGTCTCAAGAGGAGACTAGAAGATAAGGGATTGTGGCAAGGCCATCTCCCTTGTGAGGGGTGATTTCTCACTTCTCTTCCTCTGTGTCTTTCTCTGTCTCCCTGGCAAGCACATGTACCCTATGGCCAAAAAAAAAAGGAACCTGTACTCTCAGGTGGTTATAGCATAGTGCCACCTTTCTAGCAGCTGAGCAAAGTGTATGGAAAACATTCCTGAGATAAGATGTGGAAGACAGAGTCTAACATTAAGAGAAGAATATTTGAAATTTGCCTTTGAAATTGAAAGACTGAGCAATGGCCATTGGATTTGGAGATACTGTGTCACGATGGCCTTGGCCAGGAGCAGGACTGATGGACCAAAGGGGACACAAACTTGATTGGAGTGAGTTCCAGACAGAGAGAGAGGTGTGAAAATGAAGCCCACAGGGATAAGCAGTGTTTGTGCAGTTGTCTATAAAGGACATCAGAGAAAGGGGGGATAACTGGACAGAGACAAGCAGTCCAATAAAACGGGCGATTTGTTTGTGTTTTAGGGTGGAAAATACTTCAGGGTGTTTGTATGCTGGTTGGAATAATCCAGCAGAGGGAAAATTTGATGATGCAGGGGAGAGAGGGGACATTCGCAGAGCTCCATCATCACAGGGAGAGGGGAGAGAGCCAGGATCTGGGCTGGAAGCACAGAGGGTCCATCCACTGAAGGAGAGTGAGTGGAGGCAGGGGATGTAGAGGAAGGAGGACGAGTGGATTGAGAGAGGAGAATCACAAAGTGGACATCTGACTGACTCTATTTCTCTGTGAAACGAGAAGTCAGGCCTTCGCTGGAAGTGAGGAATGTGGGATTGAGAAGAGAGGAGGAAGTGAGACAGTGTCTCAGAGGGTGGAAACTCGGTCTACTAGAGGGGTCTGGCTAGCGGCAGATCCACAGGGCTGAAGGCCCCCTTGAATTGTCTCTTAAGTTGCATATGATTGAGATAAAATGCACACGTTGAAGTACAGGATTTGAGAAATGTCAGTATATGTACGAACTTGTGAGTCATCACCACAGTCAAGAGCATGGGTGTGCATTTCTTTTTTTGGGGGGGAGGGGGCGGGTTTCGCTATAGGGCGTGTGCGCTCACCAGACAGACAGAGACAGAGAGACAGAAAGCGAGAAATCACCCCCCGGGGGGATGGCCACGCCGCAATCCCTTCTCCTCCATTCTCCTCTCCGGGTCTTGGGCACGCACACACACACACCCAGCGTGAGTTTTAAGCCACCCGGTCCAGGATGCGAACCGCGGTCGACTACGTGGGAGTCTAGCGACATAGCCATTGTGCTAACTGCTGGTCCCGATGCATGCATTTCTTCAAGAGGGACCCGAAAGGGGTCCCTTCCACCCCGCTCCTCCTGCAGGTATTTATTCACAGTCTGCTCTCTGTCACTGTACACAGTTTGTGTTTTCTAGAATGTTATATAAATGATATCACACAACACCAGTTCTTTCTCTCTGGTTTATTTCACTCAGCATGATTATTTTGATTCCTCTTTGCTATTAAACATATATATATATATGTATATGTATATATACACACACATATATATATAATATTTATACTATATTTTATATAAATATAAACTATCTACTATATATAATATTGATTTATACTGTATACATATATATGTAGTGTGTGTGTGTATGTAGTTTGTTTTTCTTTTCCTCTTTTTGCCAAGTTGTATTTCATGTGATGTACTATATTTTGTTTATCTTTTCATCAATTGATGGTCATTTGAGTTGTTTCCAACTTAGGGCTATGGTAAAGAAAGCTGCTGTGAGGGTCAGCAGGTGGCATAGTGATTAAGGCATTGGACTCCCACATGGCCTAGCATGGTTCAAATCCTGGACCCAGTGGTTTGAAACACACCGAGTGCATGTGTATGCATGCCCAAAATCTCAGAAGGAGAATGGAGGAGAAGGGATTGCAGGATCACCCCTGGGGAGGTGATTTCTCACTTTCCCTGTCACCATCTCTCTCTGTCTCTCTGATCACACACACCCTATGGGAGGGAAAAACCCCTTAAAGAAAAGAGAAGAAAAGAAAAGCTGCTATGAGCATATATGTAAAAGCCTTTACATAGACATATGTTTCCTGTTTTCCTGTGTAAATACTTAGGAATGGGGGGACCAGCAGGTGGCATGGTGGTTAAGGTGGTTAAGGTGCCGGACACTTCCATATGGCTGACCACAGTTCGAGTCCCAGATCTGGTGGCTTGCTTTCGCACTTTCTCTCTCTCTCTCTCTCTGTCTCTCTCTCTCTCTCTCTCTGTGTGTGTGTGTGCGTGTGTGTGTGTGTGTGTGTGTGTGTGTGTGTGTGTCTGGTCAAATTAAGATGAATAAGTGAATGATTGAATAATTCATTTAAAAAATACTTTGGAATGAAGTGGCTAGATTATGATAGATATATTCTTAACTTTTTTAGAAACTGCCAAACTAGGCTAGCTAGCAGTATGATGCTCAAGGCAGCTGGCTTCCACATGGCCATCTCTGTGGTTTGAGTCCCAGACCCAGTGGCTTGGAAAATGCACTGGGTGTGGGCGTGCATGCCCAAAATCTCAAGAAGAAGATGGGGGAGAAAAGACTGCAGCATGGCCAACCCCCCAGAAAGCACTCCTTGGGGTGCTCTCTCATTCCCTCCCCACTCTGTCTTTGGGCACACACACTAGAGGAAATTAAAAGGAAAAGAAGCTGCCCAAGTATCTCCCAGAGTGTTTATATATCTATAATTAGGTGTGTGTGTGCCCACCCCAAGTGTGCACATGCTGAAGTTCCTCTGTATCCTGGAAAAGGGGGTCAAGAAGCTCCTGAGGTGGTTGAAGAATTAACGAGCAGGGATAAAAGAAGTGAACTGAAAAAACAGGAGGTGATGCAGAATCAGGTTGAAAGGGAGATTTTGGCAGTGGTGTATGGTAGGGTCATGAAGAGCAGGTGGCTGCATGTGACAGGGACAGGCTCTGTGAAGGTGAGGAAGCCAAGGAACTGAGAGGCTGGGGCATAGGATGGTTCATTCCTGGATGCTGAAATCACCAAGATCAGTGCGGGGAGCACAGCTAGACTCCATGGCCGCCACGGGCAGAGGGAGGGGACAGGAAGACAGTGGTTGTCCACCCTGAGGAAGCATACAGGGCAAACGATCTGATGGAAGATGCTGGAGAACATTTCTTCATTTGATAATTTTTTTAAATTATAAAATACTTCAGATATTCAGCTATATGAAGCAAACCTATGTGGAGCCAGCTCTGTGACCTGGTGGTTAAGGCAGCCTGATCCTACATGGGCTGACCCATAGTTCAAGTCCCAGACCCAGTGGCTTGAGAAACATGTCCGGCATGTGTGCATGCCCAGAATCCCGAAAGGAGAAATGGAGGAGGAGAGATTAGGGCATGACCATCCCCCATAGGGAGTTTTTGTCACTTTCCCTCTCTGTCTCTCTCTAAAGAACACACACACTCACTAACAAATTTTAAAGAAGGAAAGAAACCCTTGTCTAGCAATAGTCTAAAAAGTACAGCATCGAATAAATGAGTTCTGGTCAGGTCAAAAAAGTCAAGTGACGGTCCGGGAAGAAGTCTATCCAGGATACCAGGGCAGTAGCCCTTTAGCAATGAAAGAGCAACTTTCAGAATGAAAGGACCTGAAAAAGCAAAGGGTACCAAGACTTTATTCCTGTCCAAAAGAGCAGATTAGAGGCCAGCAGGTGGTGCAGTGTTTACATTGCTAGACTCCCACTTGGCCGATCCCGGTTTGAGTCCCAGACCGAGCAGCTTAAAACTCATACTCAGTGTATGTGCGTGCATGCCAAAAAATCCCAGGAGGATAGTGGAAGAGAAGGGATTGCAGCATGTCTCCCGCCCCTGGGGGGTGATTTCTCACTTTCTCTCTGTGTCCCTCTCTGTCTCTCTGGTGAGTGTACTCACCCTATAGCAAAAAAATTCCTCTTAAAAAAAAAAAAGAGCAGCTTAACCTCATAACCAAATACTTTCCTTCTTCCACACCCATCTCCTTATTCCACAAACATTTAGTGCCTCCAACGAAGCTCTGTGTGCAGTGTGAGGTGGGTGGGAGGAGGGATGGCAGCTCAAGTGGCGTACTCGAAGTCAACCCTGTTCTTAAACCACTCTTGTTTCTCCTGCATTTAGATTCCTGATACCCATCGCGTTCCAGCAGACCAACCGCCCAGTACCTGTCGTGTATTCACTCAATACTGAGTTTCAGCTCTGCAATAACGAGAAGGTGTTCCTAATGGACCCCAACACATCTGATATGTCACTGGCAGAAATGGATTATAAAGGTGCCTTCTCCAAAGGTAAGCTACATCCTCCACTTGCAGAAAGAGGCTCTGGACATGAGAAGTTTTTGTGTAAGTCCCCAAACTAGCAGCTCTGTTAGTCAGCTTTCAATCAACTCCCCAGTGAAGATCCCGCAGGAGTGGTTCCAGGGCAGCCAACATTAAATCCAGAAACAGACCCACGTTCTTCCTTATGTTTTTCTGAAACAGCATCACATACATGGCACTATTATGGTTGGCAGTGTAATACCATGGAAAAGCCCTGCTCTGGGTGGTGAGAATGGCGTTGCCATCCAGATTCTAATAATATCTAACATCAAGTGAGTTGGGTTTTCTCTCAAGCGCTCTGCGAGGTGGCAGTACTGTTGCACTGCCTCCTGTTTTCCAAGCGATGCCAAGCAGTGTTCTCCATCAGGTGTCTCAGCTAGACATGGTGTCTCTGCCCTAGAGCAAATTAAAAAGAAAAAAAGCTGCCAAACTACTTCCCAGAGCGTTCAGAAATCTGTAAGTAGATGTCTCTGCCCCTCCCCAGCCCAAACACGGGAACCATGACTTTCCAATAGTCTACCTCCTGCTTGTCTCCATTCAATTTTAACCCCTTAAGGGGCTAGCAGGTGGCATGGTGGTTGAGACACTGGACTCCCACATGGTGGGCCACAGTTTGAGTTCTGGATATGACACCCTGCTCTCTCGCTCTCTTTCTCTCTTTCTCTCTCTCCCTGATCAAATTGAATAATAATAATAAGTAAATAAATTTAAATGAATAATTCTTTAAAAAATGTATCTTTTAAAAAAATAATTTAACCTCTTAAATAAACTTCCTCTGGCCATACCAAACAATTTAATATAGCCCTCCATATTTTTCACAGAAAGCTGTTTACTTTTTATTAGATTTACCCTAATTTTTGTATATTATGTAATATACATATTATATACTTCTTTACTTCATTGTCTATCTTCACCAGTAGACTGTAAGTTCCATGAGAATAGAGACAGTGATGAAATATCAACTTGCATACCATAGCTGTGGTTCCTGTGTCCTTCTTACATCGTTGTTAGATAAATAAATGAGCCAATTACTTGCCTTTCTTCTCTTAACTATCCCTCATGTCTCTGTTTTACTTTTAATCACCTCATATCTGAATCTTCTCTCTCACCTGAAAGACATGTTTAAGCCCCACTCATCATAGAAATGCACCTTCCCTTGACTCTGCTTCTCCCTCAAACTTCAGCCTGATTTTTTTCTGTTCCTTTCCCTGAAAAACTTCCTACAGGCCAGAGGGCACACACCGTCTCCATGGCCCCTCTTTCCTGTCACGCCACCCTCCATTTGCTGGAAGCTGGATTCTATCCCATTTCTCTCTTGTTGATGGCTCCAAATCCATGAGTTTTGACACCTGTTTTCCATTGGATTCCTTTGCGTCACCCTCACCTGACACCCCTTTGCCTCGCAGATCACAGCTCACTCTCCTGCCCTAGATCTCCATCCTCTGCCCCTTCCGTGGTGGTGTCCTGAGGCTTCCTGCTGGGCTCATTCTGTTCTTGCTCTGCAACTGCCTCTCGTGGCCTAAACTGTCCATTTATCTGAACTTCCTACTCTCCTACACTCCATAGCCACTCCGTAACATTTCCCACATCCCTGAGCTCTCCTGAGCATCATTTCTACATGTCCTCATGCAGATCTGGAACTACTGGACCTCTCTGGCAGGAGGCCTTTCAAACCCCTAGAAATGTCTAGAACTGGGCTCATCCTTCCAGACACGCCCCTGCCACATTGCTCCCCATTGACTGCATCACCTAGGGTACTCTAGGCCAAACACCTCGGGGCATTTCTCAACCTCTCCACATCCCACAACCCATCTGTCAGGAAGATGAATGGAATCTGACTCCTAGGCATTTCTTGATGACATCTCCCTCCTCGCATTTTTATCTTAGCCATCTGTCTCTCACTAGAGAATTAAAATAACCCCCTCCCTGGTCTCTGTGACTCAAGTCTCTGTGCTTCTCTCTCCATGTTTCCAAATTCCTGTTTAAAAACTTTTATCAGTAGGACCAGCAGGTAGCATGGTGGTTAAAGGCACTGGACTCCCAGATGGCCAACCATGGTTCAAGTCCCAGACCCAGTGACTTGAAACTCTGCCAAGCACATGTGCATTCATGCTCAAAGTCTCAGGAGGATAAGGAAGGAGAAGGAACTGTGGCATGTCCATCCCCCTGGGTGGGATGATTTCTCATTTTCCCTCTCACTGTCTCTTTATCCCTCCAGCAAGTACATGTGCCTTATGGGAAAAACTGTCCAAAACAAACAACCCCCCCAAAAACAAAAAACAAAAAACAAAAAAACCCTTAGTGTTTCTTCCTGTTTATATGTTCAAGTCCAACATCCTCGGCATGTTTATATTCCAGGAGTCTTCTGCCAAAGTTTCCATCTCACCTACTTTACCTCCTTCACATTGACTGACTTAGCACCAAACAGTGCATGTTTGGGTGTTTAACACCCAAATTTGGAACAAAATGAATTTGAAATCAAATGAATTGTGCTCCAGTCTTCCTCCTACCACATCGTTGCTATGAAACCTTGGATGAGTTTCTTAAAATGAAAAGTCTCCCTTAAAAAAAAAAAGGCTTGTTAATGCTTACTGAATAAACTAAGTAGTAAGTGATTGAATGAATATTTTAGAGGCACATGAATCCTTTCTACCTTCTTCTCTACTTAAAGTTAAAATAACTGAAGCATTTCTTGGTTTGGGGGTCTTGGGAAGGTCAAATAAGATGGTGTAAGAAAAGAGCTTGATACTATAGCAAACACGAAGGAAACACTGCCTGTGCCAAGCCCAGTGGTGGGTACATGGACTCTGTGTTGCCTAGGATCTTCTCTCCTACCTCTCTCCCACCCCGGCTACTCTCTGACCAATGCCTATTCATGGTTCAGGATACCAACCAAACGTCATCTTCTTTAAGTCCTTTCATACCTCTCCCCAGACGAATTTTTGGGCTTGGCCTTGTGTTCATTTAACAAGATGTACCTTTATCTCTTACGGTATATAGCAGTACAGTGTCATGGTGAACAGAGTGTTGTGGTGGTTGGTTTTAGAGCCAGAGTAGCTTGACTTTGAATACCACCCTCACCACATGCTAGGTTTGTGACCTTCAACAAGTTACTTAACCACACAGTGCCTCTGTTTTCTCCTCTGTAAGATCATGAACAGTATACAAATTATTCCATAAGGACTAAGTACAGTAGCTGGCAAAAAGACCGAGTTTGATAAATGTCGGCCATTTTTATTAATCCCTCTGCTTTTAGTTCTACCCTCTCCCTCACGTCTCACTCACCTTTGTATCTCTTCTGCATATTAGAGTACTTGACACATGTTAAATGCTTAGTTAGGGACCAGCAGATGTGCAATGGTTACGTGACTGGACTCCCATGTAATCAACGTGGTTCAAGTCCTGGGCCCATTGGCTTAAAACTCACGCTGGGCGCGTGTGCATGCATACCAAAAATCCTGAGAGGAGACTGGAAGAGAAGGCATTGCTGCATGGCCACCCCCCTGGGGAGTGATTTCTCGCTTTATGTTTCTCTGTCTCTTTCCAATTAAGTGCACATGCCCTATAGCAAAAATCTTTTGTTCAAAAGAAAATGCTTAGTTAATGCCTACAGAATAAACTAAGCAGTAAGTGATTGAATTAATATTTTGGGAGCACATGAAATCAAAGCTTTTCATACAGAGGTACTTTTGACTCTAAGGAAATGTGTCAATCCTTTCTACCTTCTTTTTCTGTAGTCATAAAGTCCTGCCTAATTAATGCCTTTCGATCTTTCAGGTCAAATCCTTTATGGCCGAGTTCTTTGGAATCCAGAACAAAACCTTAATTCTGCTTACAAACTCCAGCTGGAGAAAGTCTATCTTTGTACTGGCAAGGATGGCTATGTGCCTTTCTTTGATCCTACGGGGACAATCTACAATGAGGGGCCACAGTATGGATGCATTCAGCCAAACAAACACCTCAAACACATGCAGATCCCTGCTGTTGGTAAGCTAACTGCTCAAGAGCAGACACTTGGGGGTCAGCAGGTGGCATGGTGGTTAAGGTGCTAGACTCCCACATGGCTGAATGCAGTTCAAGTCCTGTACTTGGCAGCTCTAAAATCACTCCAGGCATGTGTGCATGTGTACCCAAAATCCCAGGAGGAGAATGGAAGAGAAGGAATTGTGGTGTGGCCATCCCCCCAGGGGATGTGATTCACATCCAGGGGAGTGATTTTTCACTTTCTTTCTCACTGTCTCTCTCTCTCTCTCTCTGGTGAATGCATACACCCTATGGCAAAAACCTTCAAAAAAAATACTAACAATAAATTAAAGAAATAAAGAGCAGACACTTGAGAAGATTTCCTCCACCATGAATTCTGCCTGTAGTACATAGAACCTCATTCTTTGTAGTATCTATATTTTTTGTTATTTTTCTTTGGTCGGTTAAATACCAGTACATATTACCAAATGTTATGGTGGATACCATGACAAACTATTGAGTCGTTGGAAAAGTCATGACATATTTTTCTATGTTTTCTATGTAAATATGTGTCATGACTTTCCCAACCACCCAATATTAACCAGAAAAAGAGAATTCTAGGCCAGGGTTTCTTTAAGTATGGTCCAGAGAACCTTTGTGTCTCTAATTCTTTTCCAGGGAGTCCACAAAGTCAAAATTACTGGCATGATAATATGATCATGCCTGCTTTTTTCACACTGAGTTCCTCATCAATGTAGTGAGTGTGAAAGGTTTATTAATATGATTTCCGATTCCATACTATAACTAATCTTTTTAATAATACTGCTTACCACATTTTGATTTAGTATCCAAAATCATCTCCAGTTCTTTAACAAGCTCTTCGCACATTCTTTTCTTTAAACGCCATAGCTGTATGAGGCCAGATTTTCTTCACAGCTTTCAGCTGAAACATCATATCACAACTGATTGAACACAGAGGTAGCTATGAAAATCCCAATCTTTTCCAGAGAGTTCCAAAAATGTAAAACAATGCTATCTCTCTTTTGGGAGGGGAGCTGGGTGAGTATAAGTATTTTTGCTTAAAAAAAAAAAAAAGTACTTCGGTTAACATGCAATGAATTTTCGATTGCCATTTTAAAGTGAATCAATAAATAGATAAATAATTTTCAGGTTTAATTTTTAGCACAATAAATATTGATAAAAAGAAACCATATAAACAAACATTCTTTGGGGTACTTGATTTTTAAGTGTGTAAAGGGTTCTGAGACCAAGTAGCTTGAGAATTATTGAGAGGCTATCCCACGTTTTGCATTTTGGGATCACAGAAGCAACCAATATCCTCCTTGGGAGAGGACAGTGGGTGCCTAGAGGAAGGGCTTCACGACTGTCCCATTACTCTCTTGACCCAACCCAAAGCAGAAGTGGGAAGGACCTTTCACCTCCAACTGACTGCCACCTTCCTGTAGACAGGTTCTATCTTTCTAAATCTGATGTTTCTTCTTTCTGAAATTCTAGGACCGTAGTCAGCCGGAGGTAACCGACAAGTACTTCCATGATGTGCCATTTGAGGCTCACTTTGCCTCCGAGTTGCCTGATTTCCACGTGGTCAGTAGCATGCCGGGTGTGGATGGATTTACCCTGAAAGTGGACGCACTCTATAAGGTGAGTTTGGTGGGAAGAATAGAAACTTCGGACCAAGTCCACTTTAAAGCTTATAAGAAAGGAAGGCTAGGAACTAGCAGTTAGCATAATGACTATGTCGCTGAACTCTCATGTAGTCGACCGCGGTTCGAGTCCCAGACCCCGTGGCTTAAACTCATGCCAGGCACGTGTGCATGTGTGCCCAAGATCCCGAGAAGAGAATGGAGAAGAAGGGATTGTGGAGTGGCCATCCTCCCTGGGGAGGGGGGGGTGATTTCTTGCTTTCTGTATCTCTGTCTCTCTCTGTCTTTTTGGAGAGTACATGTACCGTATAGCAAAAACCTCTCTGAGAAAAAAAAAAAAAAAGAAAGGAAGGCTATATCATCTCTGGACTGTCAGTTTCTTTTTATAGCTTTCTTGAAAGTGGGTCTTTTGTATTATTGTTTATTATTCACACATTTTCCCTTTTTTTTCTTTCCTTTTTTAATTTTTTAAAATTTTTAAAAATTTTTATTTAATTTTTTTTTTTTTTTAGGTTTTTGCCATAGGGCCCTTGCACTTGTCAGAGAGAGATGGACAGAGACAGAGAGGGAAAGTGAGAAATTACCCCTCAAGAAGGATGGCCATGCCATAGTCCCTTCTCCTCCATTCTCCTCTCAGGATTTTGAGTACACATGCACTTGTGTCTGGTGATTTTTTTCAAGCTACCAGGTGCAGGACTCAAACCACAATCAGCAATATGAGGATCCAGCACTTTAACCACCACACCACCTATTGGCCCTTCACCCAGAATTTTACCTCCTATCCCCAATAGAGCAAGGCAGTGATAAAATTCTTTAATTTGTCTGTAGTCACTTGTATACTGTAGTATACAATACTTCCATTTTTCCTAAGTTCTTTTATATTGTCTACTTTTTAGTTCTGTGCAGGGTCAACTTATTTTCACAGGCATGTGAAAAACATTTAACAAAATTGTAAATTCCAAACAGCAGTTAGAATGGCAAGAACTATTCGAGTTTAATAAACAAAAATACCCTAAGTCTTAACAATAAACATGAACTTCCAAGATCAGATTCCACTTTTTCTATCTCTATGTAGTAAGTCATAACCCTGGATTTCAGAACTATTATTATTCTTCAGAAATTATTTTAAAACCACGGAGGGTTTCAATGGGGGGAGACAGAGGAAAATAAGATAACTTAATGTTTGAATCTTTCCAGAGATGGTTCAGGAAGTGCTTATATTTAGCAAGTTTTGCCAGCTGTCTGTATATTATGCACAGAGTAGGTATTTAGTAAATATTTGTTGAATAACTCATTTCAGCAGAAGTTAATCATAGATAGTAATTAATTTAACAAACAATTAAATGTCAATGGGAATAAATGTGGTTATTAAGACTATTATGTCACTGCTATCAATAAAGACCAACAAATCCTAAACATTCACTTAGCTATGGATGCCATCAAAGATAATTTCTTGGGATATTCCATGCACAAGTAGGGGGACAGAAAAGAATGTGAAGCACTGATCCACTTTCACCCTAATTTGGAAATAAAAAATAGAACCCATAATATTGAGTTCATTCAGTTCAGGCCAGCAGATGGCATGAAGGTTAAGGTGCTGGATCCCACATAGCCAGTTGTACAGTTTGGGTCCTGAACCTGGCAGCTTGAAAATCACTCCAGGCATATGTGCATGTATGCCCAAGATCCTGAAAGGAGAATAGAGGACAAGGGATTGCAGCAGGACCATTCCCTCTGGAAGGTGATTTCTTACTTTCCTTCCCTCTCTCTTTAGTGAGTGCACATGCCTTCTAGCAAAAGAGCTAAAAAAAAAATCAGTTTTTCATATATCAGTAGACATCAGCCATAGCTAATGCTTTTCTTTTGTCTAGCAAAACATACAAAGGCAATTATCTTTCTGTTACCTTTCTTCAGAGGAAGATTGTGGGCAACAATAACATGTTTGGGGTTGTCTCCCTGTTTCCCTGTCCTACAGGTAGAAGCAGGACACCAGTGGTACCTCCAGGTGATCTACATCATTGGCCCTGACACCATGTCAGGGCCCCGGGTTCAGCGCTCTCTCACAGCCCCAATGAAGCGCAACCGAAGGGACCTAGTAGATCCCAGTGGCTGGCTGTCTCTTGACGATTCCCTCATCTATGACAATGAAGGGGATCAAGTCAAGAATGGAACCAATATGAAGTCCTTGAGTCTGGATATGCAAGAGCCAATGGTAGCTGCTTCTCTGTCTCAAACTGGGGCATCTATTGGCAGTGCACTGGCCGCCATCATGCTTCTGCTTCTGGTTTTTTTGGTGGCTTGTTTTATCACTAGGAAATGTCAGAAGCAGAGGAAGAAACAGCCCACAGAGGACTTTTTGGAAGAATACCCTCTGAATACCAAGGTGGATGTGTCCAAGAGGAACCCAGACCGGGTAGAGAAGAACGTGAACAGACAATACTGCACCGTGCGGAATGTCAACATACTGAGTGAGACCGAGGGGGCTTATATGTTCAAAGGTGCTAAAGTAAAAAAATTGAATCTAGAGGTCCGAGTTCACAACAATTTACAAGATGGAACAGAGGTTTAATGGTGGAGACCCATGTATATTTTTTTCTAAAATCATTTTTATAAAACGGGCAAAATACTGGTATTTTTATAATCTCACAGATGAAAAAGGGAAAACTATAGCTTTGAGTGGCAGACAGCACACATCACATGCATCAACTCACAACTGAGCTACCTCGTTACACAAAGAACCACTGGGGCCCCAGAGCTGGAGAGGAGTTGTTTCTGTGCATCCCTTTGCTAGTCTCCACAGCTTCATAGAGCTCCTCTGTAAGGCCGGTTTTAGAAAGTAAGTACTTTAGTATTAGGATGGGAGTTGATCGGTTAACTTAGCCAGCAGAGGCCGGAGGTCTGTGCCATGGCGGATCTTTAACAGAGTGAGGCGGTGCTGGCTTTCGGTTTCCTCTGCCACCCCCAGTTTTCTCCTACTCGGTTTTTCCCTGGGCCTCTAGG